AATACAGAGATATGGTTACACACTTTTAAAGGCACTAAAGATAACAACAGTCTTCAGGGGATAATGATTTGTGATGAATTCACATTTCCTTCCAATGTCTTATTTCTAAATAAGTTCAGCTGTTGCAGTCTTCCTAGGATATTAAAAAGTGGAGCACAGACCAAAAGCTATTTTTAAATAACTCCTGACATGGATTGGTAACTGTCCTGGCATTCTCTTCATGACAATAACTCCATATGTAGAAATGTGCTAATAATAAAAATAATTACTTCATCCTGTTCTTTTTTAATGAGAGACAGAAAGGGTGTGGATCTGGAAGGGAGGAGAGATGGGAAGGCACTGGGAGGAGAAAGAGGGAACCTATAATCAGGATATATGAGCGAAGAATCCATTTTCAATGAAAGGGGTGGGGAAGAAAGGGCAGCTGAGGACTTGGCTCAGCAGTGCTGATTTGCCTGACATAGGAAGTCAGAGTTAGACTGCTGGTACCAGAAGAAAAAAAAAGGCAAAAAATAGTAAAGACATCTCCTAATCAACAACAAAAAAGTAATTACTTCATATTTTCTTCACGAGTACTTTAACACTAATAAATATTAAGAAATTAACTTTATAAGAAAGTATAAATTGGGATCTATATTTACTCTATAATATAAAATCTGTGGGCTTTTCTAAATTTACTTTTTGACTTCAGTCCTTTTCAAAATCCTAAATGGTCACTTTACATGAAGTAACAGGCTGATCTGACTCATATGGAAAAATATATAAGCCAGAATTAGCCATATAGAAATCTAAACAAGTCAGAACAGCCATATCACCTTGAGAAGCAACAACACCAGAGAACTTACACGTGACCATTTGAAGATTTAATATGAGCCTACTATAATTAAGTTAGTATTGTGTAGAAGAAAAGATATTTAGATCAATGAAATAGATCTTTAAGTAAACTCTTATACTTGGGCAATTGATTTATCTACAAGGATACAAAGACAATTAATTCAATTGAGAAAGATCAGTAGATAACTAGACAATCACGTGCAAAAACCCATGAAGTTGGATACCCCTCCTCCATCACAAGTATTAATTCAAAACAAACCAGAAAGCTGGGCATAAAGGCTCATACTTGAAGACATGAATACTGATTACATGAATACAAGGTTTCTTTGGGGCATGATGAGGACTAAGGATTGTGGGGGATTGTTGAACAGTTCTATGAATATGATCAACATTACTGAATTACCTACTTAAATGGGAAGATTTTTATGGCACAGGAATTTTCTTTAACATAATCTTATTAATAAAACATGAGTTTTGGATACTATTTTATTTTTAATTACGTGTGTGTGTGAGAGAGAGTGTGTTTGTGGCAATGTACATCTGAATGCAAGTGCTCTCTACCTGACTAACTTTAATTTTCTTGTTAAACAAAATCCAGACTGGAATTTTAAAACTGAAATTAATTTTTTACACTGTAGCAAAATATAAACAATGACTACACCAGGAAAGATAATCTCTGGAACAAGTATGAAATGATACAGTCCTACCTCCAAATGAAACAAAACAAATAAAATGGGAGTTTAAGTCTTTGATACTTCAGACACCAAAACCTATACACAAAGCTGCTATAAAGAAATCTAACTACATCTTTCTGACTTACTCAAGAGTCAAAAAGTCTTCCAAAGAAGTCATATACTCAACAAGATGTGGGAAGTCTCTTTTAGAATAATGGAGAATACAACAAGATTTCTGGAAAACGGAGGCAACTGCCAAGTGAGTTGAAATGTATTTAATAAGACATTCATTTAAGACACTTGTAGGAAACAAAAAAAAAGTGGAGTATATGGTATTCTTGGGAAGAAACCCAAGAATATTACATTCTCAGAGTTAGAATAAAAAAAGAGAACAATGAAGCAGAGAGGCTCTACTCCAAGGACTAAGAGGGAGAATAAGAATGTTCCCCAAGGGATGGGAGGGGCCCATCCTTGATGAGTCAGAGTTCAAACAATCCAATGGAAAATATCCATCTGTAACAAGGAGACTACAATCATGGCACGGAAATAATGGACATAGGAAAAACCAGTCCAGATAAGAGTGAAGCATGGCATGAGCAAAACGGAGGATTCACACAACAAAGAAACATGAAAGACAGGAATATTAAAGGCTGGGCACAAACTCACAGGACAGCTCCATGCCTTACTTAATTCTGAGACAGTTGATGACATGTAGAAGTGTGATGGGAAATACTTAGTCACTTAGCCAAAGTCAGCACTGTGCATGTCCATCACTTTTAGAAAGAGCTAGACAAATAAATACTCTCCTTCATCCTTGTCTATGTCCAGCTACCCATTTTGCAATTTTATCTTTGTGTGTGTTGAGAGACAGTCTCATGTAGCCCAGGCTGGCCTCATACCTGATTCTCTTGCTTCTACTTCCTCAGTGTCAGGATTACAGATTACAGCACCACACCCAGTTTATGCAGTGTTGGGGATTGAGCCCAGGGTTTCTTACATGACAGGCAAGCTTCTAAAAACTAAGCTATATCCTCATCAATATTCTGCAAATGTTTAAAGAGGCAAAAGCTCTTTTCATACTTTAATGTAATATCTATAAGCAAAAGAAATAAACACAATTTTTAAACATTTAGAATCATAAAGAAGTTATTTGTATTAATCTGTTAAGATTACTTAATATCATCCTAGTATTCCTAAAGAAGCTTGTTAGAGTTAGATGCAGATATATAAATGTATGCTGTAGGTCTACCTACAAAAAATGCACTGAAAGGGTTGGAGATGTAGCTCAGTAGTGGAATATTCTCGTTTATCGTGCAAACACTCTTGGGCTTAATCCAGAGGTTCTCAACATGTGGGCTGTGACCCTTTGGGGTCAAATAACCTTTTCACAGGGGTTCCTAAAACCATCAGAGGCTGGGCGGTGGTGGCACATGCTTTTAATCCCAGCACTTGTGAGGCAGAGGCAGGTGGATCTCTGTGAGTTTGAGGCTAGCCTGGTCTACAAGAGCTAATGATCGGTCAGCTAAGGCTGTTACACAGAGAAACTCTGTCTGAGGGGGAGCTGGGAACAGAAAAAAAAAAAAAAAGACCATCAGAAAACATATTTACATTATGATTCATAACAGTAGTAAAATCACAGTTATGAAGTTGCAACAACAAAAATAATTTTATGGTTGGGGTCACCATAACATGTATTAAAGGGTCACAGCGTTAGGAAAGTTGAGAACCACTGTAATCCCAGAACTCAGGAGGCAGAGGAAGGCGGATCTCTGTGAGTTCGAGGCCAGCCTGGTCTACAAGAGCTAGTTTCCAGGACTGGCTCCAAAGCTACAGAGAAACCTTGTCTCGAAAAACCAAATCAACAACAACAATAAAAAACCCAAAACCAACCAACCAAATAAACCCAAAGAACAAAAAACCCACTACCACAATTCTTCCCTACACGTTGTCTTACAAGGATGCTGGATAATTTTAAGAAGAGCTTTCACTGGCCAGAGAGATGGTTCAGTGATGCCTTCCACCAAGTCTAATGATCTGAGTTCAATTACTGGAATCCACAAAGTAGAAAGAAAAAACCCACTCCCTCACGTTGTTCTCTCACCTCTACATGGACATGGACATGCCACCCACCCACCCACATATATCCACACATATAGACAGATCATAGATGAGAGAACGCAGTAATAAGGAAAAAAACAAATTTGGTGCTGGAGATGGTTCAGTGGTTAGAAGCACTTCCTGTTCTTCCAAAGGACCCAAGTCTCAGCACCCATATAGAGTGGCTCAAAATGTAGTTACATAACTTCCTCTCCTGGTCTTACAGGAACCGTTATACATGGGTGCATAAAACATACACAGATACAAGCACATATACATATTTTAAAAAAGAAACCCTCAAATTAAAAAACAAACTGCTTTTACTATATCAAGCAATCTACTTAATGTACAGAATTATACCTTATATGCTCATGCATTTGGTTCTTGTTTTATGTACTCTAATTTTACTTTAAAAATATTTATTTTTAATTATGTATTTGGGGGGAGTGATATGTACAAGTGAGTGCAGTTCCCCTCAGAGGCCAGAAGAGGGCGGTGGAGTCTTTGGAGCTAGAGCTACAGGAAGTTGTCAGTTGTACAACAAGGGTACTGGGAACTGAATACAGGTCCTCTGCAACAGCAGAAAGAGGTCTTAACCACTGAACCATCTCTCCAGCCTTCAGTAACTTCTATGATATAACCTGCATACAAGCTAAGTCATCTTGCAGAACTTTCTATCTAGTTGGACTTTAAAGTGAAAGTCTACTACCTGTCCTTAGTCCCCATTTCCTGTTTCTTCATGTATGCCCCACTTCTAAGTTATTTATGCTAGCCACTGCTTCTTGAGCTGTAACTTTAGCTGGTAAACTTTTCATGCTGAAAAGTAAAGTTTAATCTAAGCCACATCTTCATGTGTTGGTTGTTCTTGCTAACTGATTAAGGAAGATGAATATAAAGGCATGAATGAATTATATACTACAATATGAAAGAGTTAAAACTAGAAAAATTTCCTCAAAGTTACCACAGGAAACATTAACAAACAAAATTATGATGTATTAAGGAAGACAGCTAAGGAAGGGTATCTTTTAAAAAGCATGCATTATTTTATGGAATTTTACTCTAAAGACTTTGACAAGTTAGGGAAGAATATTTTTTTTGTCACAGCTTACACTGCAATAAATTAGAGGTTTTAAATTTGCTTCAACAACTTGTAATGTGAAGTAATGTTATACAAAGTCTCTGTGTAATAAAACCTCACTAATGAATAATTAAGACAAAAATCTCACTGGATAAGCTGATAAAATGTGTCTAAACCACCCAACAATTTTTAAGGCTGACTGACAGTTGTATCTTTAAAGGCTGCTGATTATGTACATCCAAAAACAATTTTCTCCGTGGGTATCCATTATAAAAAGAACCCAAAGCTGCTGAATGACAACATATGATCAAACTCACCTTTCTTCTCTCCAGTGTAGGGCACATAGTCTTCCCGGTCTTTATGCTCCAATGCTTCCTTCTCTAGATAAGAAAGGAGACGTTCTCTATCGAAGGGCCCTGTGGCAGACTTTGATGTCTGGTTCTTTTGCCGAAACCCTGCAGGCAGAAGGGCATTCTGCCAAAGAGAATAAATCAGCCATTACGATCAGCAAACCACCAAGAACGCCAACACCACATGCCCCTATAGATTTCCCATGTAAGAAAGATCAAGAAACTAGCATGACATCGGCATCGAACACCTCCTTGCAGGACTTTGGGATAGCTGTGTGAGATGCATCACAAAAGTTTTTTATTTAAAATGGATCTACTGATTTTGGGTGTGGGGGAGTGTATGTGCTATGGCACGTATATAGAGATCAGAGGACAACTTTTGGGAGTTGGTCCCCTCTTTCCACTGGAATCTACATAGGTTGTCAGACTCACTGGTAACTGCCTATACTGCTGCCCCATCTGACTGGCCCACAAGCAATTTTTTTTTTTTTTTTTGAGACAGGGTTTCTCTGTAGTCCTGGCTGTTCTGGAACTCGCTCTATAGGCCACACTGACCTTGAATTCACAAGATCTGCCTGCCTCTTCCTCTCAAAATGCATGTGCCACTACTGCCTGGCAAGTCTAATTTTTTTTAAAAGTAGGTAGAATTCATTTACATTACTATTAAAAATAGGCAAGTACATATTTTCTTCAGATAGTATCCCACTGGGAGGAAACACCCATTAGCATGTTGTTTTTTTGAAACAAGCTCTTGATATATCACCATGATTGGCTTGGAATTCACAATGTGTTTCATGCTGGCCACAAACCTGCCATGATCATTCTTGCTGCATCCTTCCAAGTACTGGGATTATCGAAAGGGCCATTTTGCCTAACTTCACCCTTTAATTTTTAAGTATCCATGAATTATTATTTTTACAGGGATGGTTTTTAAATTTATGTTGACACTTATACTTGAGTTAATATTTTTATTTTTCTCCGAGGACTATTAAGGAAAAGCTTTCCTGGCTTGGCCTAGTAGCACATGCCTGTGTTCTAGCTCTTGGGGAGCTGAAGCAGGACAATAGAAGGGTCAATGTCCAAACAACAGCAAAGATAATTTTCTTAATTCTTAATAAATGACCAGTAAACAAGTACATAAGCTAATTCTATCACAAAAGAACTGCAAAGTACTATGTGTTATTCCTTCTAATGAGTTCCATTTGATCACAGAGCTCTTATCCAGATAAAAAACATACACAGTCCAACATCAAGACTGTTTAGTTGATTAAAATCTAGCACATTTCATTGTGTATGTGTCTATATGTAGACAGGAGCGTTAGTGTATGCTAGTTACAATTACTGTCATTGCTATGCATGCCTAATGGCACCCTGAGTCCTCTGCTGCCCACACAGCACAGCCTTGAGCACATGGGTTGACTAGAAGTAGAAAGGGGAGGAATGGTTGAAGTTGAAGTTGAATTTGTATTAAGGCCAGGAATAACAGAGAGACAAGAAAGACAAAGTGACCATCATTCTGCTTGTCAAAGGTCAGCCTCAACCAGGTATGGGGGTGCATATCTGTACTCTCAGAACTTGGTGGGAGAGACAGGAGGATCAGAAGGTCAAGTCAGGCCATTCTGGGTTATGGGAGATCCTGTCTTAAAAAAGACAAGGCAGGATGCCTTGCTTCATACTCCTGAGTATACCTTGCTCTACAATTGAGGCAGCCAGAGAAGGCAACATCTATTACTAATGGTGATATTCAACCTCACAGTTAGTATACATTTTCAAAAGGTGATTTTCCTATGAAGAATAATAGGAAATGATTACTTCATAACTAAAAATAACATGTTTACACTTGGACCATTTCCTGAACTCCACAACAGTTTTCATAAAATCTGTAATATAGTGATACTCATTACTTAGAAAGCTGATCTACAAGGGTGAACCTCAAAGATCTGTTCCTAATCCTGAACATTGTGTGTATTTACAATGAAAAAACTGTCTGTGGAACTATAAAGAACAAACATGAGATTTCTACCTTTGGATGCTGAAATCTGAGAAGAATGACAAAGAACCCACTCAGCCTGCAAGTCTATCCAGTTTTAGTTCCTAAAGATGGCAGTCATCACTTCCCCATCTCGAGTGTCATGACTTGGGTGCAAGCTCACTCTAATGTAACTGGCCTCAGGGCATCAGGTGCCCGGTCACATCCTTCCTTCACATCCCTCAACCTGTCAGCCCAGATTCAGCTCACACCCCCACTCTTAATACACTGGATTATTTCCTTCCTTGTTCTTGTCATACATTTCCTTCAACCATGACCTCAAATATGTGAAGTATGGAGATCACTTCCCCTGAAGGTTCTGCCCATCCTTTCCAGTCACCATTCCTAAGACTTCAGTATATGCCACCAAGAAACATTTTTCCTCATGTCTTATTCATAAATTACTGTCTGTGGTACCCATCATTCTTTTAACACAGTTTTATTATCTGATTCAAGTCTTGTTTTCCCCATTCCTACTAGCCTGCATCCTGGGGGCAAAAATTACATTGGGTTTGTTCACTCTTGCATTTCCTGAGAGTAGCATACTAACCAGGAACTGCAGGTTGTCCCCCAAACTGAATAAAGGTTTCAGAGCTGGGGAATGAAGCTTAGTAAAGAGCACACACCCTAGTGTAGGGAGCGGAGGAAGTCCCAAGTGAGGGAAGCCTTGAGTCAATGTGGGTTGTTGACATAGCCATGGTCATGTCAAGGACCCCATAGTCTTAGACCCAGGGAGAAAATGGTGAGCCCTTCTTCTTGGGAGTGGGGCTCTGAAGGAAATGGCGAAACCTTCCCTTCTGGGTCATGTGTAGATGTAGACAGGATGTGCAAAAATGTCCACCATAGTTTTTTCTCCCTAGATATTCACAGCCTGAAGACTGCTTCCCAATGGAGATTGCTCCTGAGGCAAGGGGCTGTTAAACATTCTGTAAAACACAGGACAGGCACGCACAAAAGTCATTGGTCCAGCTGAAAACACCAGGCTAGACAGTCTCTTACATGCTTTCTAGTTCTTAAACCATTTGATTTAAATTGGTCTCATTGACTAACTGCCAAATATATTGCTGACAGCTCTGCTCTCCTGAGTAATCCCTCAGACTTAGGTATGAGGAGTTTTCCTTGTAATAGTAATTATGGTCAAAGGACTTGCCCTATGGTATGGACACACCACTTAGCAACAAGAACAATTTTATAAAGCACATTTTAGGGTGCTTTAGGCCCTAATATCCAGTACCTCTCCTCTCCCTAAAAGCTCATATAACTCAATTATTAAAGGGCATATAAAACTACTTCCTTTTAAGAAATAAGGTAGGTAAAGTGTGGCAAATAACCACTACCTTGTGGTTCTTCCTGCTACCCACTCCTCCTTGAATCACACTTCAAAGGTAAAGGATTCCACATTAGCTTTGTGTAGCATATAAGACAAGTAACAACCACTTGGCAAATACAGACAAGTGTACATCTACAATGTCCCTGACTTAATAACAGTTCAACTCTAAGATGGTATAGAAGTGCCCCACAAAATCATTTCAATTTTCATTTTCAGTATAGCATACAACTTACATGATATATTCAATACTTTATTAAAAATTAGGCTTTACATTAGATGATTTTGTCCAAATGTAGGCTTATTTAAGTGTTCTGAGCATATTTAAGAGAGGCTAGACAAAGTTATGATGTTAGTTGGCTAGGGATATTAAATGCACTTTAATGTATAGTATTTGCAACCTAGGATATGTTTATCAGGCAGATAAGAACATTGTTAAGAAACATCTGTGTTCAGATCTACATTTTCCAATGCTAAAAAATTTATACCACTTGGTCAACATTTCTCAAGAACCACTGTAATTAGGTTTAAACCATTAAGAAAATTTTAGAGGCACAGTATACTAGCACCAGCCTTGTACAGAAACTCTGAAGAGAAACAGATTATTATAGACTAAAGAGCTAATTAGCTATTACTACTTTCAATTGCACAGAGGCAAGATTGTAGTAGAGAAAAAAAATTGTGTAAATGTTTAATGATAGTTTAGAATGTCTGTGCCATAAGACATGGAGGGAGATGTGGGGACCTGAAGAAGAAAAATGCCAGTTCATTTGGACCAAATGGGTGAAGGGTACAGGGCGAGCCACGAGAAAGCAAGCTGGCAGTCTGAAAAGCTATTGCATTTCTCTTCTCCTGCTAGCACCAACCTCGGGGTCGAGATCATCCAGGACAGTTTCAAGCTGCTTCAGCTCTGTTTCTGACAGATTGCCAAGGAGCTCATCTTCATCCAGGTCCTTATACTCCCCTAAGTCCTTCCGGAACGGTAGTGCCATGGCTCGCAACGTAGGAAGTCACGTGATTGGTCTACTTCTTATAGCTGTGGAGGGAAGAAACAACCATTTAAACGTAAGTTTTATCTAGTTGCATCTATGGTTGGGGAAAGGGAAATGCCATGTCCATCGTCATACGTTCTTCATCATATCATCACTACTCTTCCCTTCAGATAATTCATGCCTTCACTAGTTTGTCTCTGTAGAGAAATAATCAATGGAAATGGGAAGTATGAAAATCAATAAAATAAGTGCTTAATAGAATTACAATTTCTGATAACCGAATTTCAGTGGCAATAGGAAATAATTTTTGCCAGAAATAATTTCTATCAGTGATGTCAAATTATCCTAATGGATAACATTTGTTTTACTACAAACTGTTTAGGAGAGCAGTGGGACACAATATCAACATAAGAAAATAGCAACATGTACCTAACGGGAAGGAGTAGTCTCTTGTTTCTGGGAAATTTTTTTTTTTTAAATGTGTTTTCAAAAACATTATTTTAGGAGCTGGAAAGGATGGCTCAGCAGTTAAGAATACTTCCTGTAGAGGGTTTGTGCTCAGTTCCCAGCATCCACATGAGGTGGCTCAAAACTGCCTGTGCTCCAGAGGACCTGGTACTCTCTTCTGGCCTCCAAGGGTACTGGCACACATGTGATACACATACATAATGCAGATACTCACAGGCATACAGAAAATAAAAACAAAGGAATCTTCTTAAAACATATTTTAAAAGGAAAATATTATTTTGTTATTATTAGACTGTTTCTTTAAGACTTTCTTTTTTCTTTCTTTCCTTCCTTCCTTTCTTTTTTATTTTTTTAAGATAAGGTCTCACAATACAGCCCAGGCTAACCAGGAACTCACTACATAGAACAAGCTAGCCTTGAAATCAAGGTGAGCCTTCTCATTGGCCTCCTGAGTACTTCTTTAGTCCCAGCACTCGGGAGGCAGAGGCAGGCAAATCTCTGAGTCCGAGGTCAGCCTGGTCTACGAGAGCTAGTTCCAGGACAGGCTCCAAAGCTACAGAGAAACCCTTTCTCGAAAAAATAAACAAACCAACAAATTCTTTTTTTTTAAATTGATTTTTATTGAGCTCTAAATTTTTCTCTGCTCCCCTGCTTGCCTCTCCCCTCCCCTTCAACCCTTTCCCATGGTCTTCATGCTCCCAATTTACTCAAGAGATCTTGTCTTTTTGTACTTCCCATGTAGATTAGATACATGTACTCCTCTCTTAGGGCCCTCATTGTTGTCTAGGTTCTCTAGGATTGTGATTTGTAGGTTGGTTTTCTTTGCTTTATGTTTAAAAGCCACTTATGGGGGCTGGAGAGATGGCTCAGAGGTTAAGAGCACTGGCTGATCTTCCAGAGGTCCTGAGTTCAATTCCCAGCAACCACATGGTGGCTCACAGTCATCTATAATGAGATCTGGTGCCCTCTTCTAGCCTGCAGGCACACATTGAAGGAATGTTGTATACATAATAAATAAATAAATTTAAAAACCACTTATGAGTGAGTACATGTGATAACTGTCTTTCTGGGTCTGGGTTACCTCACTCAAAATCCAAAAATGGATTAGAGATCCATCCATTTGCCTGCAAGTTTCAAGATGTCATTATTTTTTTCTGCTATGTAGTACTCCACTGTATAAATGTACCATATTTTCCTTATCCATTCTTCAGTTGAGGGGCATTTAGGTTCTTTCCAGATTTGGGCTATGACAAACAACGCTGCTATGAATATAGTTGAGTACATGTCCTTGTGTGCACGATTGAGTATCCTTTGAATATATACCCAAAACTGGTATATATCCTCCTGAAACTGAAAAGCTTCTGTAAAACAAAGGACACAGTCAACAAGATAAAACGACAGCCTACAGAATGGGAAAAGATCTTCACCAACCCCACATCAGACAGAGGTCTGATCTCCAAAATATACAAAGAACTCAAGAAATTGGTCACCAAAAGAAAAAATAATCAAAAAAAAAATGGAGTACAGACCTAAACGGAGAACTCTCAACAGAGGAATCTAAAATGGCTGAAAGACACTTAAGAAAATGCTCAACATCCTTAGTCATCAGAGAAAAGCATATCAAAACAACTCTGAGATTCTATCTTATACCTGTAAGAATGGCCAAGATCAAAAACACAGATGACAGTTCATACTGGAGAGGATGTGGGATAAGGGAACACTTCTCCCTTGCTTGTGGGAGTGCAAACTACTTTGGAAATCAGTATGGCGATTTCTCAGAAAATTAGGAAACAACCTTTCTCAAGACCCAGCAATACCTCTTTTGGGTATATACCGAAAGGATGCTCAATTGTGCCATAAGGACATGTGATCAACTATGTTCATAGCAGCATTATTTGTTGTAGCCAAAACCTGGACAACCTAAATACCCCTTGACCGAAGAATGGATAAAAAAAAATGTGGTACATTTACACAATGGAGTACTACACAGTGGAAAAAAATAATGACATCTTGAAATTTGCAGGCAAATGGATGGATCTATAAAATAGACCCAGAAAGACAAATATAATATGTATTCACTCATAAGTGGCTTTTAGACATTAGACAAAGAAAACCAGCCAACAACTCACAATCCCAGAGAACCTAGACAACAAAGAGGACCCCAAGGGAGACATACATGGATCTAATCTACATGAGAAGTAGAAAAAGACAAGATCTCCTGAGTAAATTGGGAGTGTGAGCATCATGGGAAAAGGTTGAAGGGGAAGGGGAAAGAAGGGAGGAGAGAGGAGAAAAATATATAGTTCAATAAAATCAATTAAAAAGAAGGTAATCCTGACCAAAAAAAAAAAAAAATGAACACCCACAAACACACTGAGCACTGAGACATTCCCAGTACCTCAGTCACCTTAGATGTATCTCTCCTCCAAAGGAGATAGTTAGTATACTGAATTATCAATGATTTTTTTGCTCCCTAGAGTTTGCATGTATAAATCCTTAGCAGTTTTTGGTTTTCCCTTATATTATACCTTATATAAATAAGTCCTCTTAGGATTGACTTTCTTTTTTTCATTTACCACTGTTTGGGGTTGATGCTTAGAGTTATACTTATTTCAATCTCATGTCAACATACTATCCCTTCCTCTGAACATCTAAGCTCTACTTCTTTGTTATGATAAATAATTACTTATTTCCTGGTACAGATGTACAATTCCTCTTTGGCTCAAATCTAGGAATGAAATTGCTGGGGAAAGGGAATGCTTGCTTATTGTGGTGGTTTGAAAAAAATGGCTACCCAAAGGAGTGGCAGTATTAGGGAGGTGTGTCCTTATTGGAGTAGGTGTGATCTTGTTGGAGAAAGTGTGTCACTGTGGAGGTCTCATACATGCTCAAGCCATGTTCAGTGTGACAGACCACTTCCCAATGCCTGCAGGTAATGCAGAATTCTCAGTTCCTTCTCCAGCACCATGTCTGCCTGCACACCACCATGTCCCACCATGATGATAATGGACCGAACCTCTGAACTGTAAGCCCCCCCAATTAAATGTTTTCTTTTATAAGAGTTGCCATGGTCATGGTGTCTCTTCACAATAGAAACCCTAACTAAGACACTTATACTCACTCAACTTTATTAGGTAATATTAAACTATGTTCAAAGTGACTATGCCAATTTACATTTCTAAAAGATTCCATACATGACAATTCATGTTGTTCCTCTTCTTTGTTTATGTTTAGTATGATCAGAACTTTAATTTTTGGCATTCTGGAATATGTACAACGGTATTTCACTATGGCTTTAATGTACATTTTGTTAAATTATGACAAGGTTATGCATTGTTTTACATGTTCATTTACCAATGGCATTCCTATTTCTTTGGATAACCTATTGCTCATTTTTACAAAACACATCACCTTTCCTGTGTGTGGTATCTGGGCTTGTTAGTATGGATGCAAACCCATTTGCAGGTATGCATGCACATGCATGTCAAGGCCAAAGGTTGATGTGGGGTATGTTTCCATCTTTTTATTTATGGGACAGTCTCAAAACAAAACAAAACCTGGACCCTACTGAAGTTCAATAATTCACCTACACTGGCTGGCCAGTGAGCTTCAGGGATACATCTGTCTTTCCAAGCAGTGGGTGTAGGAGGATATTTACAGGCACTCGCCACAATCCCACCTTTTTCTGTGTGTTCTAGGAATCTGAACTCAGATCTTCATGCTGCGATGGGGCAGGCACTTTACCTTCTCAGCCACCTCCCTAGTCTAGTGACCTAATTTTTTTTAAAGAAGTCTTTAATTTAGCTAGATATTAATCTTTGTTATCAAGTTAAATTTAATTTAACTTTTGTTTTCCATATTCTGATCAATTTTCCATCCCCTATCTCATTCCAGTTCTTCTCCATCCATCCAACTCCACACCGGCTTCCTCTCTTTAGAAAACAAATGAGCAAATAAAAAAGCAAACAAACTAGAAAGATGATAATGAAGAGGAAAAAGCAGTAGGGCAATGGTGGCGCACGCCTTTAATCCCAGCACTCAGGAAGCAGAGGCAGGCAAGGCCTTGGTCTACAGAACTAGTTCCAGGACAGCCAGGGCTACACAGAAACACCCCCGTCTTGTGGGGGTAATGGTGGGAACAAATCAAAACCAAAAAGCAAACTAAACAAAACCAAAAAAGCAAAAAAGAGGAAAAAACACAAGAAACCCATAAAAACACAAAATCAGGAACTAACACATACAAGCAAAAGACCAGCAATATTGAAACAAAACAAACAAAAATACCCAAACAAAGCAACATGAGATAAAACAAAAAAAGAAAACAATAAAAACCCTACAAAAAAAAAAAAAAAAAAAAAAAAAAAAGACGCCACTGAGTTCATTTTGTGTTGGTCTTCTACTCCTTGGCCCAGAGTCTACCCTCAAGTGTGGTTTGTGTACCCAGTGAAACTCCATTGTAGAAAACTGGTTTTTCCTTTGCAAGTGGTTGTCAATTTGGAGACAGCTTCTTATTAGTTAGGAACGAGAGCTTCTGTCCACTTCTCCCTCTTAGCTCTGGCATCCAGGCTGTGGAACC